TGTTATTGAAACCAAGATTTGTGTTCTCACCCTGATATGAAAGATTCTCAAGGCCTCCATATTTGTCACTTTTGCTTTCCCATACTTTATCCAAGGACAAGGTATTTACTTGTTATTGAAGACAGGCTTGAGAACTCTTGCTGTTTACAGAAACATGCCTGGGAAACAGCCTTGAGAATTAGCTGCTTACAGCTGCCTTTTACTTCTCCATCAGCTGGATATTTTCATGGCCTTTTTTTCCTTCAAGCCATGTCTGAGCAAACTTCTCCAACACAACTTCACCGGTACATGATGGCCAATTGCAGGAGCCACTAGGCACTGTCAAACCAGCCTGTCTGTGCACTGGTGCCAGCTTGTATTTGGGAACAATCCTGCGTCTTGTGGAATTTCAGGAGCCAGCCGGCCACTCCGGCCACAGGCACCCAAACAGAAATGCTAGCCCATTTTCCCTGGGAAAAAAAAAACTCACCTGTCCCGGTACTTGATGGCAGATTGCAGGAGCCACTTGGCACTGTTAAACCTGCCTGACTTGGCACTCGTGCCAGCTTGAGTCTGCAAACCATTTTGCACATTGCGGAATTTCAGAAGCCAGCCGGCCACTCTCAGCCACAGGCCCGTCAACTCAAATCTCCACCATTTTCCTTTTAAAAGAAAACTCAACTGCCCCAGAACTTGATGGCAGATTCCAGGAGCCACTTGCAACTGTCAAACCTGCCTGTCTTGGCACTGCTGCCTCCTTGGGTCTGGGAACCATTCTGCAAAGGGGGAATTTCAGGAGCCAGCCGGCCACTCCAGCCATAGGCCACAAACACAAACCACAGCTCTTTTCCCTGGCAAACAAATCTCACCATCCACGGTTCTTGATGGCAGATTGCAGGAGACAGTTGGCACTGTCAAACCAGCATGAGTTGAAACTGGGGCCAGCTTTGGTTTGGGAACCATCCTGCGAATTGTTGACATTCAGGAGCCAGCCGGCCACTCAGACCAAAGGTCCCTGAATGAAAAATCTCGCTCCTTTTTCCTGGCAAACAAACTCACTAGCTGTGGTACTTGATGGCAGACTGCAGGAGACACTTGCCAGTTTCAAACCAGCCCAAGTTACAACTGCACCCAGCTTGAGTCTGGGAACCTTCATGCAAATTGCGGAATTTCAGGAGCCAGCCAGGCACCTCCAGCCTTAGGCACTCCAAACGGAAATGCTCACGTATTTTCCCTGGTAAACAAAACTCACCTGCTGCAGTTCTTGATGGAAGACTGCAGGAGACACTTGGCACTGTCAAAGCAGCCTGACTTGGCACTGGTGCCAGCTTGGGCATGGGAACCATCCTGCATATTGTGGAATTTCAGGAGCCATCCAGCCACTCCAGCCAAAGGCCCCCACATAAAAACCTTGCTCCTTTTTCCTGGCAAACAAAACTCATCTGCCCTGCTTCTGGATGGCAAATTGTAGGAGCCACTTGGCACCGTCGAAAGAGCCCCTCTTGGCATTGGTTCATCCTGGGATTCATGAAGTTAGAGGGTTTTGGGAAAATGGTTTAAAAGGGCAGGCCTCAGGCAGAAGTTTTGTTAGCATTGCACATACAGCAAAAAAGTTTTCTAAGCAGTAGAGCAGAAGTGACAAATAACAATAGACCTCTGTAGAACTGCCTTATGGATTGCAACAAGGTTATTTAATTTATATCTTTAGAAGGGTAGCATGAATGGAGCTCTGTTCTTTGTTTCTTATGAACAAGTCTTTGTTTTAACTACCATTACGTGTGTTTCATATGATTGGAGAGAATTCTTGTCAATATGTGTTGCTCTGTGTGTGATTAGCTGAAATCTAGGCCAAGATGATTTTATGCTATGCTGTAATGCAACACCTCCTTGGCATTTCCTGTGGATCAGCAAGCTGTTAACATCCGGTCTCCATTGTTCTAATAATGTACTGAGACTGATGAGCTGAAAAAAAGGCTCATGTCACTGTTCCAGATCTGCTCCATCCTGTTCAATTGTATATAGTTTGCCCGTGGCAGTGCCATCTTGGCTCTAGGAACCATCCCGCGTATTGCGGAATTTCAGGAGCCAGCCGGCATCTCCAGCAACAGGACCATAAATAGAAATGCTATCCCATTTTCCCTGGCAAACAAAACTCACCTGCCCTGGTTCTTGATGGCTGATTGCAGGAGCCACTTGGCACCATCAAAACAGCCTGGCTTGTCACTGGTGGTAGCTTGGGCCTGGGATACATCCTGCGTATGGCAGATTTTTAGGAGCCAGACGGCCACTGCGGCCACAGACACCCAAACAGAAATGCTGGCCAATTTTCCCTGGTAAATGAAACTCACCATTCCCGGATCTTGATGGCAGATTGCAGGAGCCACTTGGCAATGTCAAACCAGACCGATGTTGCACTTTTGCCAGCTTGGGTCTGGGAAACATCCTACGTACTGTTGAATTTCAGGAGCCAGCCGGCCACTCCAGAAACAGGCCCCCAAATAGAAACCTCACTCAATTTTCCCGGCAAATGAAACTCACCTGCCCTCGTTTTTGTTGGCAGATTGCAGGAGCCACTTGGCACTGTCAGACCAGCCTGACTTGGCACTGTTGTCAGCTTGGATCTGGGAACCATCCTGCTCCTGTTCAATATCAGAAGCCAGCTGGCCACTCCTGCCACAGGTCCCCCGAATAAAAACCACACTCCTATTTCCTGGCAAACAATACTCACCTGCACCGGTTCTTAATGGCAGATTACAGGAGCCACTTGGCACTGTCAAACCAGACCGGCTTGGCTCTGTTGCCAGCTTGGGTATTGGAACCATCCTGCGTATTTTGGAATTTCAGGAGCCAGCCAGGCACCTCCAGCCACAGGTCCCCCGAATAAAAACATCACTCCTTTTTCCTGGCAAGCAAAACTCACCTGCTGCGGTTCTTGATGGCAGATTGCAGAAGTACCTTCGCACTGTCAAATCAGCCTGACTTGGCACTGCTGTCAGCTTAGGTCTGGGAACCATCCTCCGTGTTGTTGAATTTCAGGAGCCAGCCAGCGGCCCTCAGCCACAGGAGTCTGAACTAAAACCTCAGCCATTTCTATTTGAAAAGAAAACTCACCTTCCCCAGTTCTTGATGGCAGATTGCAGGAGCCACTTGGCACTGTCAAACAAGACCGAGTTGAAACTGGTGCCAGCTTGGGTCTGGAAACCATCTTGCGTATGGCAGATTTTCGGGAGCCAGCCGACCACGGCGGTCACAGGCCCCAGAACAGAAATGCTGGCCAATTTTCCCTAGTAAACGAAACTCACTATTCCTGGATCTTGATGGCAGATTGCAGGAGCCACTTGGCAATGTCAAACCAGACCGATGTTACACTGGTGCCACCTTGGGTATGGGAACCATCCTGCGTACTGCAGAACTTCAGGAGCCAGCCGGCCACTCTGGCCACAGGCCCCCAAACAGAAATTCTGGCCCATTTTCCACGCAAAGAAAACTAACTGCGCTGGTTCTCAATGTGATATAGTACGAACCACTTGGCACTGTCAAACCAGCCTGACTAGTAATTGGTGCCAGCTTGGGTCTAGGAACCATCCTCCGTGTTGCTGAATTTCAGGAGCCAGCTGGTGACTCTCAGCCTTAGGATCTGGACCTAAAACCTCGGCCATTTTCCTTTGAGAAGAAAACACCATCCCCAGTTCTTGCTGGCAGATTGCAGGAGCTACTTGGCAAAGTCAAACCCGACTGATGGTGCACTGGTGCCAGCTTGGGTCTGGGAACCCTCCTATGTACTTTTAAATTTCAGTAGCCAGCCGGCCACTCCAGCCATAGGCCCCCGGATAAAAACGTCGCTCCTTTTTCCTAGCAAAGAAAACTAATCTGCGCCGGTACTCAATGGAATATTGTAGAAACCACTTGGCTCTTTCAAACCAGCCCGACTCGACACTTGTGCCACCTTTGATGTGGGAACCATCCTGCGTATTGTTTATGTTCAGGACCCAGCTGGCCACTTCAGCCACAGACCCCAAAACAAAAACCTCGCTCCAATTTCCAGGCAAAGACAACTCACCTGCCCCGGTACTTGATGACAGATTGCAGGAGCCACTTGACACTGTCAAACCAGTCCACCTAGGCACTGGTGCCAGCTTGGGTCTGGGAACCATCCTGCGTATTGTGGATTTTACAGAGCCAGACGGCCACGCTGGCCACACGCCCCCCAACAGAAATTCTGGCCCATTTTTCCATAGCAAAAAAAACTCAGCATCCCCGGATCTTGATGGCGGATTGCAGGAGCCACATGGCACTATCAAAACAGGCCGTGTTACTCCTGGTGCCAGCTTGGGTCGGAGAACTATACTGCTATTGTGGAATTTCTGGAGCCAGCCAGCATCTCCAGCAATAGGCCCCTGAATAAATCTTAAGTCCTATTTCCTGGCAACCAAAACTAACCTGTCCCAGTTCTCAATGGAAGATTGCAGGAACCACTTGGCACTGTCAAACCAGCCTGGCTTGTCACTTGTGGTAGCTTGGGCCTGGGATACATCCTGCGTATTGCGGAATTTCAGGAGCCAGCTGGCCACTTCAGCCACAGTCCCCTGAACTGGAATTTCTTCCTTTTTTCAAGACAAACTAAACTCACCTGCTGCGGTTCTTGATGGCAGATTGCAGGAGTAACTTGGCACTGTGAAACCAGATCGACTTGGCACTGGTGCCAGCTTGGGTCTGGGAACTGTCCTCTGTGTTGTGGAATTTCGGGAGCTGGCCAGCCAATCAAGCAGGAGGCCTCCAAACATAAATGATGGCCTATTTTCCCTGGAAAACAAAACTCACCTGCCCTGGATCTTGATGGCCAATCGCAGGAGGGACTTAGCACTGTCAAACCAGCCAGACTTGTCATTGCGGCCATCTTAGGTCTGGGAACCATCCTGTGTATTGCGGAATTTCAGGAGCCAGACGGCCACTCGGGTCACAGGGCCCCAAATAAAAACTTATCTCCTTTTTCCCGATAAGCAAAACCCACCTGTCCTGGTCCTTTAAAGCAGATTGCAGGAAACACTTGGCACTGTCAAATCAGCCTGACTTGTCATTGGTGCCACCTTGGGTCTGGGAACCATCCTCCATGTTGTTGAATTTCAGGAGCCAGCCGGCGATTCTCAGCCACAGGAGCCTAAACAAAAACCTCAGCCATTTTTATTTGAAAAGAAAACTCACCTGCCCCAGTTCTTGATGGCAGATTGCAGGACCCACTTGGCAATGTCAAACCAGACCGAGTTGCAACTGGAGCTAGCGTGGGTCTAGGAACCATCCTGCTATTGTGGAATTTCAGGAGCCAGCCGGCATCTCCGGCAACAGGCCCCTGAATAAATCTTAAGTCCTATTGGGTCTGGGAACCATCCTGCATATCATGGAATTTCAGGAGCCAGCCGGCCACTGGTGAGTTTCCAGCCCCAGGCCCCCAAATAAAAACCTCGCTCCTTTTTCCTGGCAAACAAAACCCACCTGTCCCGCTCCTTTATGGCAGATTGCAGGAGCCACTTGGCACTGTAAAACCAGCCTGACTTGTCACTGGTGGTAGCTTGGGCCTGGGATACATCCTGCGTATTGCGGAATTTCAGGAGCCAGCCGGCCACTCGGGTCACAGGCCCACAAATAAAAACCTCGCTCCTTTTTCCTGGCAAACAAAACCCACCTGTCCCGCTCCTTTATGGCAGATTGCAGGAGACACTTGGCACTGTCAAACCAGACCGATTTGTCATTGGTGCCTGCTCGGGTCTGGGAACCATCTTCCTTGTGGTGGAATTTCGGGAGCTGGCCGGCCAATCAAGCAGGAGGCCTCCAAACAGAAATGATGGCGTATTTCCCCTGGAAAACAAAACTCACCTGCCCCGGATCTTGATGGCCAATCACAGGAGCCACTTGGCACTATCAAACCAGTCCGAGTTATGACTAGTGCCAGCTTGGGTCTTGGAACCATCCTGCATATTGTGGAATTTAGGAGCTAGACAGCCACTCCAGCCACAGGCCCCCAAATAAAAACGTCGCTCCTTTTTCCTGGCCAACAAAACCCACCTGTCCCGCCCCTTTATGGCAGATTGCAGGAGACACTTGGCACTGTCAAACCAGTCTGACTTGTCATTGGTGCCTGCTCGGGTCTGGGAACCATCCTGCGTATTTTGGAATTTCAGGAGCCAGACGGCCACTCCAGCCACAGGCCCGAACACAAACTTCGGCTATTTTCCCTGACAAACTAAACACACCTTCCCCGGTTCTTGATGGCCAATTGCAGGAGCCACTTGGCACTGTCAAACCAGCCTGAGTTGGCACTGGTGCCAGCTTGCGTCTGGGAACCATCCTCCGTGTTGTGGAATTTCAGGAGCAGATCAGCCATCCTCAGCCACAGGCCCCCGACTAAAAACTTTGCTCCATTTTCCTGGTGAACAATACTCACCTGCCCCGGTTCTTGATGGCAGGATGCAGGAGCCACTTGGACCTGTCAAACGAGCCCGACTTGGCACTGGTGCCTGCTTGGGTCTGGGAGCCATCCTGTGTATTGTGGAATTTCTGAAGCCAGCCGGCCTCTCCTGCCACAGCCCTGGAATAAAAATCTCTGCTCTTTTCCCTGGCAAACTAAACTCACCATCCCTGGTTCTTGATGGCTGATTACAGGAGTCACTTGGCACTGTCAAACCAGCCCGAGTTGCAACTGGTGCAAGCTTGGGTCTGGGAACCATCCTGTGTATTGTGGAATTTTAGGAGCCAGCTGGCCACTCCGGTCACATGACCCCAGACAGAACTGCTGGCCCATTTTCCTCGCAAACAAAACTCACCTGCCCCGGTTTTGATGGCAGATTACAGGAGTCACTTGGCGCTTTCAAACCACCAAATTCGCACTGGTGCCAGCTTGGTTCTGGTAATTATCTGGCATATTGTGGAATTTCAAGAGCCAGCCGGTCACTCGGGCCAGAGGCCCCAAATACAAACCTTGTCTCTTTTCCCTGGAAAATGGAACTCACCATCTCCGGTTCTTGATGGCAGATTGCAGGAGCCACTTGGCACTGTCAAAACAGACCGAGTTGCAACTGGTGCCGGCTTGAGTCTGGGAACCATACTGCGTGTTGCGGAATTTCACGAGCCAGCTGGCCAGTCCCAGCCAAAGGCCCCTTAAGGCAAACCTCTGCCCTTTTCCGGGTAAAAAAAACTCACCGTCCCCCATTCCAGAATGCAGATAGCAGGAGCCACTTGGCACAGTCAAACTACCCCGAGTAGCCCTGGTGTCGGCTTGGGTGTAGGAACTGCGCTATGGAGTGTACCACGACCGCCACCATGCTCTTTGACCCTCATAGTGCTCTGCGACTGGCACAATGCTCTTCATGCAAAGAAGCCACTTCTTCACTCCCGGGAGCCCAAGAGAGTGGCAGCCTCCGATAAGTGAACAACGAAGCCCCACAACACTGGGATTGTGTGCGCTGCTTGCAAACTCATAGAAAAAAGTACCTTTCCACTCTCCTGCCTTTTCCATTCACATTAATATTCGAGAAGAAGCAGTTTTGGACAACTTTCTTTTGCTTCTTGGAGAACACTCTGCAGACCTGCATGCAACCTCTAAAACACGATCGGAGATATTTTCCGAACAGGCACAGTTTCTCCTCGTGAGACATTGTGGAAAAGCTTTTTGCTTAGATGTCAGTGAGAAGAGACACTAAAGACGAAGATACGGAGCTCTCCGAAGCTAAAGTTGTTAATATGTCCTGTTATCCCATGCAAACTTTTTTTGGCACTGGCACTGAATTGGTATGTATTCCATGAAGTTCACAGGCCCCATTCAGATGGAGCCACAGGTCTCAAGGGTGTTAGCAGATGTTATTCTGAGGCCACTCCTAATCATGATGGATGGATCATGGCGACTGAGGAAAGTGCCCAAAGACTGGATGAAAGGAAATGTCACCCATCTTCCAAAAAAGGCAACTAGGAGGACTTGAAAAGTACAAGCCAGCCAGCCTCATTTTTATCCCCAGGAAGTTGATGGAGCAGCTATTCTTGGAAAGCATTGCCAGGCACATGAAGGACGACAAAATAATGTAGTCAGCATGGATTTACCAGGAGAATTTCATGCTGAACATCTTTTTAAACTCCTCTGATGAATCAACTTGACTGGTAGATGAAGGGAATATTGTCTGCCTGGCCTTCAGGGAGGTTTTTGACATTTCTCTACATGGCAGCACACATATATACCGGAAGCAATAGTGCAAAGGGGAGGGAACCGGTGTCTTTTCAATGATGCTGAGTGAAACGACAAGAGGCAGTGGGCACACACACTGAAATACAGGCGATTGCCTCTGAACATCACCAAATGATTTTTTACTCTGAGGGTGACTGAACCACGGCACAGACTGCAAAGAGAGATTGTGGAGCCTGGATCTTTGAAGACATTAAAAGTACACCCAGATAGAATCCTGGGCAAGAGGCTCTAGGTATCCTGGTTTAAGCAGAGTTGTTGCCTGGTGAGCCCCACCGACCCCTTCCACTCTCATTCATTCTGTGCTAGTGAATTCTCTTAGAGATGCATTTCAAGCTCTGGCATGACAAAGTTCTGTGCAGACAGAGATCCAAATGGACATGGGATCTAAGTTCCTTAAGCTGTGTTCAAGAAGAATGTAAAACTCTGGGACAAGTGTCTGTCCTGGGGTGGCGTATGATGCTTGTATCCCCATTCATCTGTTCTGTGCCTTTAAGACCGGCTTTGAAGAGTGGAAGTTTTGTTTGGATTTCTCTTATCAGGGACAGAGAGACGGGCTGTACATAGGGCTGTTTTCACTTCTTCCTTTCAGCTTGCTGCTTTGCTTGCTCTCTTTTCTGCCCTCGCTTCTGCTCTGCTTTGGCCTCTGCTTATTAGCTAGCTCTAGCTAAACAGTCCACATTCCTTCCTGGACTGTTTCTCCTCTCCTGTTTCTGTGACCATCTCGAACTTGCTCTGGACTGGGACCTGGGAACACTGAGAGTTTGCACCGTTTTGCCCTGCAGCAGCTGCCCCAGGGCTGCAGGGACTGAGAACAGAGCAACCACCCCTGAAAGAGACTTTCTAATTTTGTCATCTTTCTCAGAGCGGTGTCATCTGGTATTGTTCATTTTGTGTGCTGCAGGGTGCTGTGCTGTCAAATAAACAGGTTCTTTCCACCTCTCTCCAAGGAATTTTTTCCCGAACCGGTTGGGGGGAGGGGCCGTGTGGGTTTTGCTTTCTGGAGGGGCCCTCCTTTGCAGATTCTTTAACAAATTTGCCCTAAACCAGGACAGTGTCTCTTCCCTAACTGAATCCCTTTCATGGGAAAATTCCCAGCTATAGAAAGATCTTCTGATACGCATGCTTAAGACTGACACTGGCTGAGCAAATTTCTCCCTATGTGTATCTAAGACCAGTTAGGATCTTCACCCAAAGTCTTGTCAACATAGTCACAGAATGTATATTGTTAAGTAGTGACAACTGACATCAGAATGGCAAATATTGGTCCACAAAATGGATTAATGTATGGGAATTATCTACTTGGGTTAAAAATAAAAATAAAGAGTTGGTCTTTATTTATCAATTTCATTGCAATATTGATAAGGGAAGAAAAAGACCTAAGTCCTTGACTTTCTTAACTCGAAGGAAGATTTTGAAAATTCCTTGTAAAAATGTATGATCATGATCAGAATACTGAAACAATTTTAGTTGGGGAAAAAGTTCCAAATTTGTCTAGATAGTGGCAAAGAAGGCAAGAAAATAGGAAAGAAACAAAAAGAGAGCCAAAGAGTCAGCTTCAGTGTACAAGCTCGTTCTAGAAGTAGTCTGCTGGAAAAAGGAACCCCCAGTTGAATTTCCAATGTATTCCTGGGCTTGATTCAGTAACTGGTCAATGGAAAAACCAATCCTTTTGTACAACTTCTCCCAGCAACAAAAACTCCAACAGGTTGACACCACCGTCATGCCTGTTGCAGACCTATTTAAAAGAGAAATGATGATTTTCTTGAAAATCTACTTGCATAAAAGCTGCAAGACATTGGAGGAATTCCCACATTTTCATTCTCCACATTCTCCTTCCTCCAAGTTGCTTGAAAGTAGATTGGATAAAATATGCAACAAAGCACATGATTTATAAGGTAGAGTAAAATGGATGATTTGGGAATTGATCTCTTGTTGATATTAAACTTCATATCCACTCTATGTGAGGTTTCTAAAACAAAATGTGGAGCTGAGGCATGAATCTGCCACAACAAGTGTTAAGCAGACATGCACACTCCCCTTCACATGCCCCCCCTTCCACACACACCTAGGCACACACAGAGATCAGCATAGCAGCTCATGAACACCTTAGAAAAGACTGAAATGCTAAATACCTCTCTTTGTGGGCAAAAGAGCTGCTGCAATAATTCAAATACCTGATACAAAAATTCTGTTGAATATCTATCTCCTATATAAAACACAGCTTTTCATTTAATTCTATTTACGGAATATTTTCGTTTCATTTGTTTCTTTAAAATTACTTAGTTCTCACGTGTTGTATGTCTAGGAATATTTTCTTCGAAAAACAGAAAAAAATAAATTATATCTTTTCAGAAGAAAACATTGGTTTATACAATTTTAAACCATCATGATATGGAAGAATGTTTTTGTCCCTCTCTAAGGTGGAAAAAGTATTTGGATCACAGATCATTTACAAGAAATACTTGACATTTTTAAGATGCTTTCAATCCATTTTGATCCTCAATTGCTTATTCATTGTAAACAGTAATTTTTCAGTGAAGGGAAAGTGTGTGTGGTATATCTACATGATGTTCAAACCCAATTCCTACTAATGGCCAGGCTGAACTCCAGTAAATCACGTCCCCAATGATATTTTGCCACGTTCTTTGGCACTTCATGAAATCTTACCATGATGAAGTGTTGAAATACAGAGATTTTCTCTTAGAGATTGTCCTATGTTGAAACCCATCACATGTATTTTATGCTGTAATTCTTATCTCTCTTAAAATTTGCTATCTTCTGTACAGTTTTCATGAACCTTTCTGTTACAGTAGCGAAAATCACAGACAAATGTCATTTTGTACAACTTTGAATTTACCCCAAGAGCTGAGAGAACGCTTGCTCCTATACTTCAATCCGAGTTTCTTCTATAGTCCAACTTTGTTTCTCCACCATCAAGATTCTCCTTTGTTGCTGCTCCAAGCCCCATCAACCCTGACCTTGAATACTTTCAGGGATGGAACACCCACAATTTCTCTGGGCAACCTGTTCCAGTGTTCCAGCACTCCCACAGTAAAAAAGGCCTTCCTTTCATCTAATATGTGTAGGAAATCATAAATCTAGGCAGAGAAACTTGGAGTGCAAATTTGAAATTCTTTTGATTTGAAGCATATTTTATATGAATACTGTCTTACAGATGTCTAAAAGATGCTGATGGGCATTTGAGCTTTCACTTTTTGAAAAAGTGCATGGAATTTAAAATTAAAACCAGTAAAATTAAAAACTTCTTGCCATTTTCTTTTTCCTCTCCTATTCAAAATTGCGTATGTCAGATATCAGTGCTTCATGCAAACCTCTCAGATGCTCTCAGAGAA